TCCACATTGTTACAGGAATAAAATATTATTATTCGGAAATCGTGAGATGCGGTCTGGTGTGATGGAGGTTTCAGAAAAACATTTTCTTTATCGTGCCAACGTTTCGAGCTTTATTGAGATCATCATCAGAGCCTGGGATTCATAAACATTGTTTATATTTAACAAATACATGTAGGATTTGGAAAAAAGTGAATTTATACAATGTAAAAAAATATATTTTTTATATTCAATCGATGTATTTCTACTCACTGTAAATGGCACAATTACGCAGAAAACAAACACTTTGAGTGAGTAGAAAAATTTTGATTCAATATAAAAAATATTTTTTGCATTGTATAAATTAACATTTTTCCACATCTTACATGTATTTGTTAAATTTAAAAAATGTTTGTAAGTTCCAGGCTCTGAAGATGATCTCAATAAAGATCGAAATGTTGGCACGATAAAGGAAATGTTTTTCTGAATCCTACATCACACCAGACCGCATCTCACGATTTCCGAATAATCATCGACTAACGGTCACTTATCACCACACATAAAATATTATGTTAGGAAATTATAAAATTGATGGTTAAAAAGAATAATTTTATGAGGTACAAATTGTGAAAATATGTATAATAGAATAAAATAACAACTGTTCTAAAAATATGTTTGTACTTATATTTCATATCGCCATCAATGAACATATGTGGTTTTTTACTTTAAAAGTTAAATATAAACTGACAGGATACGCAAACAGTCAATTCTCTTCTTCCTCCTTCATTTTACCCAGTTTAAACTGTCAATATCAAGATATATTGACTAGATTAAAAAAAATATATTTTTTATAGTAGGAAATAGAGACGTCAAAATTAATACTAAATTTAAGATAAAATGAAACATATCAATTGGACAAATATATGTGTCGTTATTACACATGCAGTACTACATTCTTCATTTGTGTAATATATTGCCCCTCAAATTCTTCTATGTTATTCAATTCATTAAATATACACTACCTAAGAAAAAACCCGAACACCTGGTTTTGTGCCAAAAAATGGCCATATTTTGAAATGCATATTTTCTTATCCTTTAAGTCACAGACCTACTGTAGGTCGCATTTTTTTGAACAATTTTACACTGAACAATATGGTTTTTGAAATGTTTTCCTATAATAACATTAAATAGACGAACTTTATATGGATAATGAACTTTTTTTCTTCATCATTATACTCCTTCTTTTCTTTTCCTTTAAAAATATAGATATTGTTTTTTAATACTTGTTTCTTTCTTTCTTTCTAACGTATATATTTAAAGGTATATATGTATGCACATATATATANTTTATATGTTTTCTTATATTTCGACCTCAACAGTTAATCTTATGATTCTTCCTTCTTGAAGGTGGGATAATAGGTCATCTCATTGCTGATATACATATATATATATCAAAAAACGTGCCAGGGAAGCAACAATTCGTCTTTTCGTCTTTGACACACACACATATATATATATATATATATATATATACACAGAAGAAAGGAGCAAAGGAGCTTTCAGAAAAGCAGACGTAACAGTTAATTGTTCACGAAAAACCAATTCGGTTTCCTTTTAAAAACTTTGAAATCCTGAAATACGAATTTTTATAGCAAGAAAATACCTTTTGGTTGGCTTCGCGGGGCACATTTTTTCGTAGCTTATGTCTGGTGTTCCACTTAATAATTCATAACTCTTCCCGTCTTCATTGAAATTCAACGTCATTTCAACCGTTAGAAAGCTTAACCTGTCTTCTTTCAGTCTTTATCGCCAAGGTTTAAATGTGAAATGATTTTAAGGCAGAAAAAAATTGAATCTATATACGGGCGAGCAATTTCGTATGCATTACAATACAGTGCATAATTTGTACTCGGCCGACGTAGCAAACTCGTTGAAATATTATTAATATTATTTTTTTAACAAGAAACAATGTTCCTATTCGTCTACTGAAAAAAAAGAATATCAAGCAAAGAATTATTAGTATTAAAGGTGGGCAGCCCCGAAAGATAATTAATTGTTTTCTTTCATTTTTTTTAGCTTTTATACATATCATAATTTTTGCATTGGAAAGCACGAAAATCCAATAAATTTAAAAGGACTTCACTGATCGTCATGACTGTTTATGATTAGTAGGTTTTACCTTAGGTAAAAGTATTGTAAAAGGATAAACTACACTTCTTTACATAAATGAATATCAGATAAATATTGGAACGTGTCACGTATTTTTGTTGATTTCATTCTTCTTTTTCACCCTTAATAGGACTCAACGTCTGAACCTTATATTGGAAAACCTTGGATTCCTACTGACTTTAATAACGTTGATTTTTGACAAAATCCAGAGGTTATGAACGTGTAAATGAAACACCGGACATCGGCGAGAATAATGCTCCTGGAATTCAGCTTCCCGGTAACACTCTTTACAACATCCTACAAAGGAGAAGAGGAATTCAGGAAAACATCAGATATAATATTACGGTATATACAGATGGTTCTGAAACAGATTAAGGTACCGCATCAGGCGTTTTTGTAAGAGCAATCATTAGGGAAATACACCTGGGACATTCAAGATGAAATGCATGCGCTGTATGACGCATTTATCTTAAAAGAGGTTATAGTGGCAAAATCCTGATAAGAGAGGAAAGTCAAGCCGTTATTAAAGCATTAGTAGTTATTACGTCACACGACACACAAGAATGATACATCGAGGCAGAAAACAAACACTTGAGCCCTGAAGATGATCTCAATAAAGACCGAAACGTTGACACGACAAAGAAATTTTTTTCCAAAACCTAGGTCACACCAGACCGCATCTCACGATCTGCAAATAATCAGTAGTTTAAATATCCTCTTTACTTGCACCTCCTCCATCCAAACAGAGGTTATTTACCCATTGTTTAATTTACTCAGTAATTTTTTATGTTAATTTAGAGAGTAACTTATTTTAATTTTAATTCCGTTGAGTTTTGTTTTGTATAACACCGTTGTTATTACTTTGGTCACCACAACAAGTTTCTTTTTGTGTCAAAATCGTAATAATTTTCACTATAACCGATTCTAAGGGGACACTCCTGCCCCAGAAAAATTGTAATTTTTTTTTCTAAAAAAAAAAACACATCAAAACTAGTCAGTGATTGCATTCAAAATCTCGAAAAGCTGGGGAAGCACAACCTGATGAAATCGTGGGTATGTCGGCGTGAGGGGTATCAGTGAATTATTTGTTAATACATTTATAATTGTCCACGTGTTTACAACTCGTCCACACACAAACTCAATCTAAGTACTGAAAAACGCCTTTTTTCTCTCCGTGGCAGTGTCATGTAGTACAGGGGTAAGTGAAATTTCCGTTTGGGGGATACATCTCCTTCGACACTACCACCACAGGTACTAGGACACACGGGAATTTTGAATAATGAAATAATAATTTGACTGGACAGAGGAGGATCTGTATGACCATATATGTGCCGTGAATCTTGGGATAACAAAAACCAACACAGAATCCTCCCATAAAGAATGGAATCACAAAAGTCAAACCGAGAAGTGGATAAACTCTAAGGTACTACACACAGGCAAACTCACTGTTTCAGTTTGAGGGCTAAACTCAGAGATTGGTAGAATTACATTCGGTCACATTTATCTGAGAAAAGCTCAACATAACGTATATTCCATGATGACGTCATTGGTAGGTGATACAATGACGAGGAAAAAACCATATTCGAAAGCGAAGAAACCGCCCAATGGAAAATTAATCGAGGCTATTAAGAAAACCATGGAACGAGCATCCTAGTAGTTCTTAACAGAAGGATTGATTCGATTGTTCTCAATAATAGCTCTAGGAAAAGTACAATAAACCAGAATGCTCAAGTGCCTGAGATCACAAAACCACAAAAATAAATATTTTTTCAATTACTATAAGTCTAAATGGTGCCGAAAAATTCCGAGTTGATTTTTGTTTTTGTTTTCTTAGCAAAAATGAGTTTTGCCCATTTTACTGAAGGCGTCTTTTGGTTAGTGAAAAGTTTTATATATCTCCTCGCATTTATTATACTTCATATGATTTTCTGATCCTCGGTAAAAACAAATTTAAAAATACATGCACAAAAAAGGCATAAAAAATGTTAAGTAATTACTTCACATATTTTTTTCTTGGCTCTTAGGACACATGAGTCTGAAAGTTTTCTAACTTTTATCACCAAAATAAGTTTTATTGAAAGCGGTGATACCACTTCCACAGCCATCTCTTGTAAGATGAAATTTTATACCTATTTTGTAGTAATATATTGATGTTTTCTGAATATCATGGCTATCATTTTAGTTATAGCTAAGAGCGTTTAGAAATTTTGAGTTCTTAAGCCTTGTTTATCCAAATTTCATATTCTTAAGCTTTGTGTATCCAAAGATTGAAACCAGCTAGTACATTTCAAACCGGTTTTGTTCAATTTTTGAACATAACAGAAATATTAACATTACTATGTATTTACGGATGGTTAGGGAGTTGATAGTTTGTTGGTGTCTCGGGGGCTGAAGTCACTATAGCTCAAGTGATAGAAGCGCCAGCGTACTGATCCAGACGTGGGTTCAACTCTTGCTTGTGATAATAATATATTTCATCTTCTCTACATTGAATTATTTACTAAGCACTTACTACTACTATTATATTACAATTCAGTTACCAACAGTTAGGGCCGGCTGTTTTTTTGAAAAGTTTTGTTGAGGAGAGCCTTTGACCAAATATGGGAATATAATAGAATTATGTATATTAACGTAATATTTGGACATGTAGGTCTTCAGGAATAGTATATAATAATGCATGGAAAAATAAACGAACTTCTTGATCTCACCTGGAATTTTCACCTCCTATTGAGCCCGTAAGTTTGTTAAAAAGATTTGTTTTTAAAGGAATAAAAAAATTAAAATAACTCAAATAAAACCTCTTTCATTTCTTTTATTTACCAAACATAACCAACAACATTTTGTTTTTATTTTAAATCTATGTACAATAAATAGTTACTGGGTGACAACTAGTTCTACAACGAATATATTACTCTTTCCATCCAAAATACAAGAATATAATATATTTACAGTGAAAATCAATTTCAAGATCGAACTAAGACCGGCTCTCTTAATTCGCATTAATCCCTATGATCTTTCCTATTTACACAATCTGATTAGTTTATTAATACAATAATTTACAGAACAATGTCTTGAGCCTTATACATCTCAAAATGTTGAACTCTCCTTTATGTTTGAGTTTGTCATAAATAAATAAGTCAATGACAGTATTTAAGCTTCGTAATTTTGTACAGACATTTTTAAGACGTTGGTGTAAAAACTTAGGCTTTTCTCCATATTCACATTAATATCGAAGTTCCTCCTTAACTGTCAACAAAATAAATAATAAAATAAACAATCAACACTATGTACAATGAAAAAACGATTCAGTGGTAATTTTCAGAAAATTTCATACATGGTTTACATTTAAGAACATTTAAGGAGAGACATTCTTTACATCGAAAATTATTTTTTCGGTCTAATATCATAAAAATTAAACAACCGTTTCACAATTAACAGTAAACTTTCATAAAATTGGTAATATGTATATATTTATAAATATTAATTTGTATTATATATTTTTATATTAATTTTAAGTTAATAAAAATTCAAAGTTTGATCACTTGCAAAGTATAATTGTCCAACTCACTTAGACGGTGTTTTAGGATAAACAATTATTTGGATTTTAAAAATAAATCTTCACCTGTTGTCTGACACAACAGTCACGTAAAAATATTTCTATAAACTATTTTCTCAAAAGCGGACAATGCTAGTTCATACACATTGATTTTTATAACGATTATCACACCGAGAAACTTAAATTTGTGATTATCAGAAGTAAAACGTGAGTTGTATAAATTGAGCAGTAAAGAGTCTGGGTGAAAGAGACCATAGAATTACCCTGATCGAACATTGATATTTTGTTTGACCCGTTTGGAGGAAATGAGAGACGTCAGGGGCAAAATCGCGCTTTTACACTCATTAGACGGCTTAAAGTTTATTTGCATCCCGGTGGGTCGCCTTTTGTCAGTTTTCCGCGGGCTCTGTCACGTCGCCTTCGTAACCTTCGTCAGGGCTTTCTGTCAATGCTTGCGGTTCTTCAAGAATCGCGTTGCTTCCTTGTTCGCACTCGAAGGTCTGCGCACCGACGCTCTGGGTCCTCAGTGTGTCTAGATTTGATTCTGGCCACTGGGCGGCTGCATCTTTTGGGTCGCTCTTGTATCCCGCCGGCGGTGATATGAACGGGTCTTGAAATGCCGGGTACAATGGCTGGACGCACGGATACCCCTCCAGTGTGTACCTCACGTCGGAAGGGTTGAAGTGTTCGAAGGAGGCCGTGCTCCCCGGTTTTGTCACGAATTCAGCCTCCCTGGAGAACTTTGCGGCTGGTGCATGCCTCGGTTTATGAGGAAGGGTCCTATAGAAGGAAGACGAAGGCATTACTACAGGAAACGGACCCGGCATTTTCGGCAAACCGTAGTCGACCGGATATCCGTCCTGATCGATGAATTTGCCTGGAGAAAGATGCACGTCGGCGGTCATGTGTTTCGGGAAAACGTCTCTCCTCGGAAGAGTACCCGCGACCCAGCCCTTTTCAATGTCCTGCTCTTCTTTTGGGCCTTTCCACTCTTTACTCCCTGTATCGTTTATTAAATCGGGGTTCTGTTCCTGATAGTTCTGTGGCATCGGGGCTGTTGTGTACTTCAGGTTGTTCGGGATGACGAGGACCCCGGGCCCAGAAGCGAATGCCATCATTTCCTGACCATGAGCAGTTCCGTTGATCTTGGGCGCTTGAACAATAGATCCAATTCTAGTTATGGTATCGTTGTCTCTTACTACAGGCGTTTTATCGCTAATTGGCTGATTTGGAAGTGCTGCTACTTTGCTCCTGTCCTTCTTGCGCTTCCTTCTTTTCTGTCTTTTGCATTGGATGAGGCACAGAGTGACGCAAATCACTCCGAGTAATGCAATCACGGAAACGGCAGCAGATATCACGACGAAATATTCATACGGGAAAACCGCCAGTCCAATAACGGGTTCCTCTTTTAAAATAATTCTTATAGTGTAATTGGAGTGAGATCTGCCAGCCGAATTTTCAGCAATGCAGACGAATGTCCCATTATCGTCAACGTTAGTGTTGAAAATAAACAGTTCGGATGTTTTTTCAACTGTCCCTTCCTCGACAAAGTAGTACAGGTGCAGTCCAGGAGCGACGGTAGAATCATTCTGCAGAACGTTTCCTTCGTACCACCAGGAAATCTTCGCTTCCGGTATCGCCGAAACTTGGCATAAAAGAGATACGTTTTGCCCTTCTGAAATTTCTAGAATCAACGGTGTGACATGCTTCATATCTGGAAGGCATGCCAGTTGATTAGTACTTAAAGTTTTGATCTGTTTGCCCTTCAGTCTTTCTGGTGTTTGACAAGCGGGCTCAATTGATTGAGGAACACTGAATTTAACGAGCCATTGCGTCAAACTTATTAGATTGCAATCGCATTGCCAAGGGTTGTGGTGCAAATCGATCCCGTGTAAATTTCTCGGGAGAATGTTCTTACCGCTAATATATTTAACGTTGTTGTTGTCCAGTTTGAGCCATTCGAGCATGTTGAGACCGTCAAACGCTCCATCTTCGATAGTTTCCATTTCGCATTTACTCAGCTCTAAATTCGTGAGAAAGGAGAGAGGTTGAAACGCGTTCGTTTTCAACACCTTAATCGGATTACCGTTCAACGTCAGTCTCATAAGAGAAGGATAATCGTAAAACGTTTCGGTTGGGACGGATGTAATTGAGTTGTCGCTCAAATCCAGTTCGACAAGATTGGTAAGTCCTTTAAATGCCCTGTCCTCAATGTGTTTGATACGGCATCTCGAAAGGAAAATCTTCTGCAGATTGATGAGCCCCATCCTTTGAAAACGTTCCCTCAACAGCCTGTCGAGATTGTTGCCAGCGAAGTCTAAAACCTGCGTTCCATGATCCATACCCGAGGGCAACGTAATGAGACTTTTATTAATACACTCCACTGTCTGCTTGCCCCCTTTCCACTTACAAATGCATGAAGAGGGACAGGCCCAAACATGGACCATTCCCAAAAGAAGTAACAGAACTACTAGCATATTTAGATATTCACATCATCCCCTGTAGCAAAAGATCCTGCTTGTACGTCAGTGAGTTGAGACCATTGCCTTATCAATTGAGCAATCGAGAGGAGTTTTTCAGCCTTTCCTTCTTTGTGCATCTGCTCTTCTCTCAGTTTTTCTCCTACAACAAACAAAAATACATGCCAATTAATCTCCGTGGAAAAAAGTAACGAAATTTTAGCAATTGATGTATTGGTTTCATAGTGGTTGAATGAGCTTCCTTTATATTAATTACCAAGAGAATTATATTATGCCCATAAAACCACAACTATTTTAAACATTTTTAACAATGAGATATGCCACACGGAGATTGGACCCCAATGGCTATTTAGTTAAAGATAGAAACAGCTGTTAAATTTTATCAAATTGTTATATCTGTAGTAACTGAGAAGTAACGAATACCAATAATAAGATTGGTAATTTTAGAAAATTTTATTCTGCCTATCCATGCTGTTTTGATGAAAGACGACGAAAATGACCAGCTTTTTTAGTTGCTAAAATGAGACTTTAACAAATTGGCTGTGGACATTTGATTGGAACAGTTAGATGGGTTGGCGGAAACCATCGAGACCACTCTGTATGTCCTATGTGGTTTGATAGACAAAACAGACATCGGTCTTAACAAATGGTTGTAATTTTGGTTGTAACAAGTAGGTGTATATTTTGTAGAGAATATCAAATATAGTGTGGGGATTCCATGTCAACGAGCAGTCTACATACAAACCTAAGTTACGGGCTTTCTGGAAGTCATGATGATGTTTAGTTTTTCCGTTGCTTATCGTGGAAATCTGGGAGAAATGGGTATGGCAGATTATTAGGTTAGGATTAGGGTTACAAGATGAAATTGTAGCATCATCCCTTTTGAAGTAATAATGGTGTTGGGATATAATTGAAAGTCATCAGTACAAATGATATACAAGACGGAACGAGAATGTTACCTTGTTGAAGGCCGGATTGTACCTGTCTGACGTGTGATTACTCTTTGTCACACCTGGATTTGAATTAGCTTTTAGTTACATAGGATTCCAGGATAAGGTAATTATAAGTGGGTAAGATTTTTTTTCATTTATACAGAATAACGAGGCGCCAGGTACATCCGTAAGAAATACTATGTTATTTTGAATAGAAGAAATGGAATCCTCAACAAACTCCAACAAATAATAAGACTTTTATTGACTGATTTTTTATATTTCGTTCATAGGTTCGCAAAGTTTTATCTTAGTTTTGTTTTATCATGTACATTATGTTTTTTAAAATAGGTTTTACACTGTGTTCAATACTGGTTTGTTTTAATGGTATGAATTTATAGGCGTCATACAAATGTTACATGTAAAACGATAAGCATAAGTAGACATACACAGAAAAATACAGGTATAATCAGTATTACATTAATAATAATTTATAATAATGCGAAAAAAATTGAGACTGGTACATAAAAGGAAATTAAACATAAGTAAATACGAATGAGACAAATAATAAAATTAACAATTAAAAGCTATAAAATTAAGTGACATTTCCAATTTTTTTTCTAAATTTCATTAAATTTTATTTATTTAATAAACGTTTTGAAATTTTCATTTGGCCTTAGAGTTAGCCATTACTTCATAATCCAAAAACTTGGAAGTATTTCTATTTTCGGGCAGTCCTATATTTGGTGTGTCATATTGTTTTCTAGGATAGTAGGACTGGCAGGATCATGCCGACCATCTTTAAGGTGAAAGCGGAAGAAATAAGTATTATGTGGGCCATGTTCTCTTCAAATTTGTATTAGCGGGAATTTTTGTTTTTCTGTTTTCCATTAGCTCTAATTGACAAAATATTCTCCTGCTTTCAACACTCTCGCGAAAAGGTTTCTTTATTATATCAATTGTAAACTCATGCCAGTCGATGCTAGTTTTGTGGATTAAGGAAGACTTCATTCCATTTTATTCCGCAATGAGCCTTTACCCAACCTAATTGTACATTAAACTTCAATTGGACTAGAATTTTAAAGATTGTCCTTATTTGTTCAGGCAAACAATTTGGATTATCGTGATTAATTTTCGATTCCGTAGAAACTTGACTGTCGCTTATAATGATGAGCTCGAGAATATAATCCGATGCTCTATTTCTTACAACCCATAACGAATTATTCAGAACGGACAAAAGTTCAGCGCGTGCATACCTGTATAGTAAATTTTGCTTAATATATTTTTAAATCATTCCATAAACATACAAAGGTACTGCCAACTCCATACTGTGACGTGTTTCCGTGAAAATAGTAAGACCACCAAGAACAATTCAGTAGAGAATTGTATGTCAATTGCATCTGCCGGATGATGCCACTCTTTATATTGCAAGTGTCTATCAAGTTTTCCCCCCACTAACATTATTCATTATTTCGATAAATCGATTAAGTCTTTCTATTTTTATTCCTATAGGCATTATATATACATTGGATATGCAATAGTACGATACCCTTTAATTAGTCTTATAGCCTGAATTCGCTCCAGTTTTACCCGAGTTTGTTTACAGATTTTTACCGCATCTGCCCAAACGGGTGAAGCATATGTAATCGTGATGTAATTATCTCACCATTATGAATAATTTTAATAGATTCGGAAGTTATTCCCCTGTTATTATTTTTTATTTGTACACTTTTCTACCAATTTTTACTGAATAGTAATTGATGTTAATAACTTAAATTAATATGTGAGATTTTATTATCGATTGTTTAAATAATTCTCTCTACTTACAATACATCACAGTTAATATATATTATATTTGCGTAAATTCTACAAAAAAGTCATAACTTTAAGATTTTATAAAGAAGAGGAGAATATTTTAAAAAATCCGATAGCCTTTCTCTTAAGCATTAGATTAAGGGCGAATAAGATACGGATTAGAGAGAAAAACGAATTGAATAGACTAAAACATATTTTTTTTTTAATCAAAAGAGTAAGGACAAAATTCTAGAATTTAATAAAAGATTTTTGTTTAGCCTGAAACTGCGAAATTGTTCCCACTTTGAAGTGCCGCTCATAAACCTCCCCGTTGTCAATAAAGTCCAAGTGAGAAGGAAAGCCGATTGAACGGTTTAATTCCGCGGGTCGCTCAAAGCTTCGAGAAAAGTTTTCTCCTCCTTTATATGCAAATTGGATATCCCCTTGCGACTCGGAGGCAAATACCATCAAAGTTTTTCAAGCCCTAACTGTGCTTTCCACTAAAAACAGAATATTAATCACTGTATTATTAGGTCAAGCTATTCCGTTAAATACACTTTTTTTTCATTTCCAGTTCGGTAGTTACATAATTGCCCATTTGTAACTGAAAAAAGCCAGAAACGTTTCCAGATTGAACATCTATATATATTATCCGTTTCTTAAATATTAATTGTGTTCTGTGTCCAATCTGAATTAAAATAACAACATAAAATTACATTAATTGTTGCTTTAAATCTTGTATATGTTTTTCAATCTATCATCTAATTATGTTAAACGGTGAAGTAGTTAAATGTAGTAATGTACTTCGTGTCATACTAGAGGCCTTATCGTCCAACCACCAGTTGGTTATCTTGTTAGAGGAGAGAAATTTACTTTATAGCACTTTTTCTAAATTGATTTCAAGTAAAATCCCTGGGGATATGTCGTGGATTCGAACGCAGCACGATTAGTGTGCCAAATACGAGTCGATACCCTAACCACTCCTGCCCCTCAGTCGAATTTATCTTCTTTAACAAGTGAGAAACTATGAAACTTTTTTAATGACACTAAGTCAAAAATATTAAACCGACAATTTTTTGCAAATGGATTCTAGAAGCCAAGCAATTCTTTTAAAGCTGATTTACGTACTTTTTTATTGGGGTTTTCTATTCTTTGAGGTATATGTGTTTCATTAGGGGTTTCATAGTGTAAAAAAATAATATACAGTATAATATCGGTCAAACAACCTAAAAATTAGGTATTTCAATATCTATAATATGCCATACACGCTGCAAAAATAATTTTATCCTAGTGACCGCAAAATAGGTTTCTATTTTTCTAAACCAGGAAGGTTGATATTCGATTTTTGCACCTCCAAACAAACTCCGAATACAAATTTTTTGGATGCTCAGATTTTACTCAAAAATCATTAAAACAGTGATAAAACATCACCAATAAAAACATTAAGTGTTTAGAAACCTATAAACTAAACATACTGAGATGAATGTGGCCTTCGAAAATAAATTTGAATTGACGGATACATGTATAATAAAAGATGTAAGTTTTGTAATGAAATTGTGGAGATAAGCGCTAAGAAAATAGATTCAGCTTTCCAGGTTGTAATGATGTAGACATTGGATCAAATCCACAGAAGTTAAGATTTTTTAAATGGAGCTCTGGATTATCGGAGAAAAATGAATGTGCCCCCGGCTAATCTATCCCAATCAGTCTAGTTTTTTTTTTGGGGGGGGGCATCCGACAGCTTGCTCATTTCAGCCACGAACGCATGCACATTCAATACGCATTCACAAAAATAAATATATTCAAAAGATAATATTAAATAGAGATTAAATATATCAAATTATAAATACAAACACTACACATAAAAACAAAAAATACATATATACATTGCATTCATTCTATTTGGTGGACGGAGTACTCAAGATTCCTCCATCAACTTGCAAGCAATAACTAATAAACTAATTGGATTCGGGTCGATGGCGTATTTTTATAAATATTCCGCCATCGAACCAAGTCACGTACACTGCTCGAGGGGCGATGGGGATGTTTTTCCACCATCAGTCCCTTCCTATTCACTCTAATTAATATTGTCACCCATACAAAGCACAGAAACAGAAAACACATATCTTGACGACTATATACATTAAAAAATTCCCATTGCCCCTAAAAAGCGGAACAGGGTACTTTGAAACTTGCTACCGAGTCCGAGGACAATTCTTAAATCCAGCGGCATCCTACACCTATGTATGGAGCCAAGGCAGGAGGACAAGCCTCTATTATGTGAGACACATCGAGCACACATTGTTATCAGAGTCTTTAAAGGGTGTTTAACGCAATTGTGATTTTCAAAACGAACTAATTTGCTAGAAATTTATTTTTGTATTTATGTGTAGTGTTTGTATTTATAATTTGATATATT